TCGTCAGCTCGCTTGTACTCCACAACTGTTTTTATGTGTGTAGTTCTCTGGACTGAAAGGTTTTGTTTCCCCCTGCTGTAAACGGTTTCTTATGAGCTCCAGGCCCAATCCACTAAGAAAATCTCTCCATGATATTTTGCACTTGTTATTTTCACTGTAAACTAGCAAACTATTGATGCCACACACGTTTAGGATCCAGTAAAACACAACCACTGGACAACGCTTTGTGTTTCAAGCAACGCCGCAGTTGCTGTGGCCCATCGCCAGCATCTGCTGTGCCTCTGGTTTTGGGGGAGATGGTTACCGCCTTAGGCTTCTGTTTTGCTGAGGTTTCCCTGTCGGTGTTCCTGTCACAATACCAGGATACTTCAGGATGCCAGTTTGCTTGCCTTTGCCAGGTAGGAGGCCAACATTACATCTTTCTGAAATCCAAAGATTGTACTATACAACCCTCTGTTTTGAAATTGCAACATCTCATTTGGCATGTTTGCTTTGTTCCTGCTGACAGTTACATCACTGCTACTCAAATCCTACTCTGTTAGCAAATGTAACATCAGTAGGAAGCCGGTAAGCCAACTGTCACATTCCAATCAGTTTGGGAGTCTGGAGCAGTGAGTCTGTTCCCAATGTCATTTGGTTTTACTACTCTACAAAGGAGGACCCAGTGACTGAGTCCCAGGACAAATTTCTAAATTGAAAGCACCAAGTCTTCACATTTATAAGGGTATAAATATTCATGCCATACTTTAAAGAGTTTTAAAAATATACAACCTAAAACTACAGCAACCATGAAATGTTGCGAGATGCTCATCTATAGCCGTGGATTCAGAAAATCGCTTGACAATTACCTGCAAATCCCCCATGAGGGGATAGTAGGCAGATTATCTCTTTCTTGGCGGGTGGTTTTGTCATCAGACCTCAGGCAATTTTAAAGTAAACCTAATCTCCTGAGTGTCATAATTATGCTACAGACTTTAGTCTCACATCCACTGCTTTCCATAAGTCTTTTATATTGCCACAATTACCATGAGAAAGCCCTGCTAAGTACAGCAGCCCATGAGTGCTTCAGTGCAGCTAGTGAGGCGTCCTAATAAATACATTTTTAAGTGTGGCTATTGGTGCATAAAGAATGTTTCACTTGTACTTCAGCATTTGTGTATTTTACATCTTGTAGCATTTCATCTACTACAATTTCCAACACTGAATGACAGTAGTGGCATTCTGTCCAATACCTTTCACCATATTTTCAGACCTGGTTCTAACATTGGGTCATTCCATTTGGCTGCGTGACCATTTTGCAACATTCCAACTAGTCAAATACATACTCCCATTGCTGTTTTCTTCGTCATCTGAATCAGGGAGGCCTGCATTCTCTGTGTCTGATTCAGTAGACTGTTGCTCCATTTCACTGTCATGGGAACTTTGCCTCACATGGCCAATTTCAAGGTCATTATCATTGTCATCATCTGTGCATGAATGATCTGACGATTCACTTTCGACTCCTTCAAAACTTGCAAATCTCATTTTTCTTGTACCCTTGTACTGAATCAAGCTACTTCCACCAGAAAAATCAAAGGAAAGCTTTTTAAAAAAACAAACCCTAAATGCACAGAAATTGGCCAATGTGCATTTCATGGGTAAAATTCACCTGTAGCTGCTTTGGGTCTCCCCTGTGTTCATCTGCCAGGTGGGTAAATGCACAGATGGGTTTTTGCTTTCCCCAGGTGCAGCTACCATGAGTCACACTCACAGTCCATTTCTGGTAGAATACATCTATCATAGAGAAGATCGATGTGGGTGTATTTCACCCCCTGTGATGCTCAGGTAAACATACAGAGAGCTTGTTGCCTGAAGCATTATGTGGGTAAAAATCCCAGCTTGACACTCTTGCATGCATGCACACGCCTTGCAGTTCATCATACCAAATAGACAGCCATGAAGATTGCTTCTTGTATCCCTCAAACACAGCTACTGAGACGCACATACAGTCACTACTGTATTATGCTAAAGTACAAATTTACAGTCGAAAGTGTGGGATGGGTCATTGTAGCCCAGTGTTGTGTCCTACAAGTTTTAAAGCTACGTCAGCGTCTCCTGTTTCTGTCAACACTGACATCCAATTGGAGCAGTGAGTGGCTGCTGAGGAGCTGTGCTGTTCCTAAGACAGCACAGCTCCAGCAGCTACAGGGGACAGATCCACCCAGCTCTGTGTTCACCACAGATCAGGAGGGGCTCTGCTCATGGACATCGTTATGTGGCCACAGGCGCTGATGGGGACTCTGACTCTCCTAACCTGCTTCTTCCAGGGTACAGCTGCATGTGTCTAGCCCTGAGCTATTGTGATGTGCAGCTCTTGAAAGGTGAGGAGAGTCTCAAGGAGCTGCTTCTAGGTTCTCAGTGTCCCTAAGAATTGAGCAAGACACTCAGAAAGAGTACAGACAATAAGACTTATATATAAAAAAAAGAAGCAACAAAAATGTGAAGGTCCATTCCACAGGGTAGGAGCTGCCTGGGAGAACAGCTCAACAGGGGCAGCATGAGGTCTCTCAAAGTCCTTGGGGTTACAGGAGAGTCTGTGGCTGGCAATGGCCAGGAGTCACGGCCCAGCCAGGTGCCTGATCGCACCCACCCTTGGAAAGGGGAGGTTTGGACCATACATGCGAACTTTCAGAGAAAGTGTCCTGGCATCCAAAGCTCATGAGGGTGGGTGCCAAAACTTCAATGTAAATGAGAGTGGACCGAGATCCAGCCCTGTACTTCTAGGTTTATACATGCCTGGGGTTCTGGGGGAACGGTGTGACCATTACCTGTTGGCTTTCTGATATTTTGGAATAGCCACACTTGCTCTGTCTGGCTCCTTGATTCCTGTCCCATGGCTGTTATTGACTCTATCCCTCACCTCAGTTATAAACCCCAAAGCATCAAACACAGATTTGTCCCCCAAACTTTCCCAATAAATGGGGTGTGCACTGGCACAGCACACAAGAGGACCTCTTGTGGAGTGGGTTAGACAATGGACCTGACTCAGCGTTCCCTGCCAAACTATCTCCTGGGCTTGAGCTTTGGACTGTGTTAAAGGCACTGGAGCTTGGAAAGGAAGGGGCCATGACAGGGTAGTGGAATCACCAGTGAGTAGCCAGGTGAGGACACTGACACACAGCCCTTGGGGCTGGGACCCAGGGTTCCTGAGGGCTGAGTCTTTTGGCTGAGGCCCCACGGGGAGGGCAGAGTCAGGCCAATGTGGACTCCAAGCTTCCCTGGGAGGGGAGGATAGTGCTCTAGTGTGGGGATGGTCAAAGCTGGAAACTGATCACATGTGAGAGGGTGAGATAAGGCCAGTCCAAGGTTGCTAGGCAAAAGGCTGTTATGGGACACAAACCTGCAAAAATGTAGAAATAAAAGTGCCCTGGGGGGTTGAGCAATTCCTTTTCCTCTCAGTGAGAGGACGTCAGCTTTCTGTATGTGGTCTCTTATCTTTATTTGTCCATCCTCTCCCAGTCCTCTCCCCTGCCCCCTCAGCTTCGAGAGCTGCGCAGGGCAGGGCAGACTTTGCTCTAGTGTCCCCTACTCCGAGGGATAAGAGAAGGCCCCAAGGGGTGGAGTGGGGGGCAGGCCTTAACACTCCAGATGGCTGACCCTCACAGGTGGCTGACCCCAAGCCTAAATGCTTGCATCCGAAGGTTGCTGGGAGGGCTTATGAACTTGAATTTGTCACAACACTGAGCCCAAATCGAAAATCGAGGTCAACCCAAACCAACCGCTTAACAGTGCAACTTGGGAACCATCTGATAGAATTTTCGGCGCGGTTAAAAAGATAAGAAATATGAAATAAAAGTGGCCTTTATTTTAAGAATGTGGAGAGAGACTCCATGACCTCCGGGGTCTGGTATTCTCTCTGCCGACATGTGGTTTGGGGGCATACATATAGCTTAGGTTTGGGGTGGTGCCTAAGGGGCATTACTGATGCACAGGTAGCCCATTGGAACTCACTTCACCCCACAGGTAAATTGCTTAGGGGCGGGGAAGATGACCTCTAGATAGAGCCTCTTGGTTCCACCTCCCATCCTCCCACTGCTGCAGCTTCCCATCAAGGGCAAAATCCTTTCAAATTCCTCTTGTCCCAAGTGAATTTGGAGCTGCACCACTCGCACACTCCCGGACATGCACAGGCCACGCCTGCACTTTAGAACGCAGAAGGGGCACCGCAAAAATGGGCTTGCGAGGACGCCTGTTATGGCTGTGACCAGATGTCCCCCTAAAGCCTCACACAGTCGTAGCTGGGCCTTTTTCAGAGGTGGCTGAACCTGCAGTGTGTGTGAGTGCTTCATTCATGGTGCAATATTGGGATTGAGGGTGCTAGGATTAAGGCTGGGGGAGCCCAAAATCAGCCCCCTGACCGGATCGGCACTGCCCTAATCCCGTTAGCCTGGACGCAGTGTATTTGAGGACAGAAAGAGCCTTGTCCCCTCCCCTTGCTTGCTTTGCTGTCTTCTGCCGTGGTAAGCTGTTTCTCCTCTTCGAGGGCCCTCTGCCATGCCACCCTGCCTTGGAGTCTGCAATTGTGGACTGAAACGTCTACCAACTGTGAGCTAAGTGAACCTTTCCTCCCTTGTGGGTGTTGGGTATTGTCTCGGCAAGGAGAAAAGTAAGACAATGTCCCACTTGCAGGGCGATGGCCGCCGCTCAGGTGCCCGGTTCCAGGGGGTCTAAGTCCTGGCACGCAGCATCCTCTCCTACTTATCTCGGGTCCGCATCTCCCTGGCAACGACCCTCGTCCCCGCCCTCTTTCTAAACGCATAAACAGGAAGTGGGCCTGCGTAGCGGGCGCTTCCGTCGCGGCTAGAGGCGGGAGCGATTGTGAACGGCAGCGGGGAGGAGCCAATCACAGACGACGACTGAGAAAGAGCCAATCCTGAGGGGTGCTGCATCAGGGGGGCGGTCCTTGGAGGGGGCGGGACAGGCGGAGCTCAGCCAATGGCAGCGGGTCGCAGGAGGGCGGGGCCGGGCAGATAGCAGGGGGCTACTGAGCGACAGCGGCTGGGTCGGGGCTGCGGCCAGGCGCGGCGATGCTGCAGCTGCGGGACTCTGTGGATTCGGCGGGCACGAGCCCCACGGCGCTGCTGGCGGCCAGCGAGGAGGTGTCAGTGTGCGGTGGGACCGTCGGCCGGGCCGGGGCGGGGCCTGGCACGCCGCTGCGCCAGACACTGTGGCCGCTCAGCGTCCACGATCCGACGCGCCGCGCCCGAGTCAAGGAGTACTTCGTGTTCCGGGTGAGGACCGGGCCGGACTTGCCGGCGGGCCAGGGCGGGGCGTGGACGGGACTGGTCGGGGCTTGAAGCCCTCGAGAGTGACTCCCCCTCACCGGGCCACCCCCAGCCCGGCACCATCGAGCAGGCGGTGGAGGAGATCCGCGCCGTGGTGCGGCCGGTGGAGGACGGCGAGATCCAGGGAGTGTGGCTGCTGACCGAGTAAGCGGGGCCGGCTGGGGACTCCTTGGGGCCCGCCCCGCGTGGACCTTTTATCCTCGTCTGAGGGTGGGTCCGAGGTGCAGCGCAGTAGCCTGTGGTGACTGTCTCGCCTGCAGGGTGGACCACTGGAACAACGAGAAGGAGCGGCTGGTGCTGGTGACCGACCAGTCGCTGCTTATCTGTAAATACGACTTCATCAGCCTCCAGTGCCAGCAGGTGGTCAGAGTGGCACTCAGCGCAGTGGACACTATCTCCTTCGGAGAGTTCCAGTTTCCCCCGAAGTCTCTTAACAAGTAAGTGCATTCCGGAAATGCAGTACTAGTGGGTCTTATTTTTCAACCCTTTCCACTCAGCCCCAAGTGGTTTTGTGTCTTCCTCAGTGTAAGCTAAAGACCTTAGCTTCGGAGATGAGGGAAAGTGATCACTTCTTAAAATAGAAGGGAGCGGCTGCTGGCCAGGGAATGGCGCTGAGGGATTCTGGCATAAAGACAGCGATGAAGGCAGCAGGGACAAGGTTCACATGTGTTTCAGATCTGTTGAGATGGAGCCAGAGCGTTAAGGGCAAAATCTCTAGTCCAGAAAGGATCCCACTGCCTCGTTCAGTCTTTTTTGGCTTCAGAGAAAAATGTAGGACACCAGTGTAATTTGTAGATACCGCTGAAAGTCAGATACATTTGAAAATAATGATTAGCTTTTAAGAATTGATCTTTTGATTTTTGAGAGGAAAGGTTTATTTTGGCTTCCAGTTTGTAGGGATTTTGGTTGGTAGTTCATTGATTCCAAAGTGGGATTGCAAGCTAGAAGGGCATGGCAGGGGAAAATACCCTCATGGCATGGCTGCAAGAAGCAGAGCCATCAAAGGAGAAGCCAGGGGAGTACACCCTCCAGGTCACACCCGGAGACCGACCTCCGGCCAGCAGGCTTCAGCTCCCAGCATCACAGTTAGCCACGAACTCCTTGGGACCAGCCCCATTCGGGCCTTTTGGGATTGGTCCTCCTTGGGACTGGTCCACTGATGAGTGTCACACTGTTGTGATCCAGTCACTTCCTTAAAGCCCCACCAATGATCCTGTGGGGCTTGGAGGGTGTATTCTAAATAGAACCTATGTCATTCCGTTTCTTATCCCTGAAAGACACACGCAGGTCTCTTTATGCAAAATGCATTTAGCCCATCTGTAAGAATTGCCAGAGTCCTGGTAGTTTTGGCATTATAGTTCCAAATCCAAAATCTCTGAATTTTAAAACAAACTCTTTACTAAAAAAGAAAAGTTAAACATTCCTGGCATTTAAAGGCACACAGCACACATTCCCAGTTGCACAATGGAGAAATGGTGGGGAGGGAAAGAAACAGGACCAAAGCAAGACTGGACTGCATCAGGGTAGGCATCACACCCCACAGTTTGTCCAGCAATCTGTGGCAAGATGTGAACTTGGTCTGGACAGCCCCGCCAGTGTGGCATTCCCGATGCTTGTGGCCCTCACAGCTTCTCTCTTGGGCTGGTTTCCTCAGATGTTCTGCATTCGTGGCATGTCCACTGCACTTTCAGCTTCACACTCAGCTTCACACACTGCCCTCTCGGGCACACTGCCTGGCTTCCCAGATCTTCTCCTGATAGCTGAGTGGAAGTCTCTCTGACCCACAGCTCTTGTATTCTGCATGCATGTAAAATGAGCACAGTGTGGATGATGCCGTGGTCTGCTGCCAGGTGGAGCAGCAGCCGGCCCGTTTGTAGCTTAGGAGAGGTGGCAGAGGCCTCCAAGAGCCTGGATAGCTGAACAAGGAAAACTGAATCCCAGGGGATGGATTCCCCTTCCCTTAGACTGCTGCTGTGTGGATCCTGGAGTCTTGGGCTGTCTTCTCAAAGCAAAGCATTTCCGTTTTCCACCTTTGACTGTAAATGGTGGGATGTTTCAGAGTTCCCCTTATGTCCTCAAGGCATCTTTTGTATTGTCCAGGTTCAGAGTACTTGGCTTCTTGTTAGTGCTAATGTTTTTAGCCACCAAGCTCTCTATTCTATCTTTGTAGGCCCCCACTTTACTGGAGCTTCCTTTGTTGCTACACAAAAAACTTAAAATCATTCAGCTCTTCTTTTGCTCTTGACTCTCCACACAGATTCCCCCCCGCCCCCCAATGATACCTGTGCCATAGTTTCAGTGTTAGACTGCCTGGAATTTTCCTCTGCCAGATTAGTCAGCTGCTCTTAGGCTGCCTTGAAGTCTCATGAGCAAAGTGTAGACAGGTTTTTCTCTCTCTTTTTTTTTTTTTTGTCTTTTTTTCTTTTATCGGTACTAGGGATCGAACTCACGACCGCACACTTGCAAGGCAAGCGCCTATGCCACTGAGCTAAATCCCCAGCCCCTGACAGCGTAACATACACGGTTTGGAGTGCAGTTTCCAATGGAGCCTGGCGTTTTTTGTCTGCTCTTCTGTCAGCAGCCTGGTCCTCAGAACGCAGACCAGAGTCTGTCATCCAGCTCAGCCTCCCGCATTCTACGGCTGCTTCTCCAGCCTGCACCAACAGACCTTTCTAAAGTCCTCCATAGCAGCGAGCCCCCGATCCTGGTGCCAGAATCTGTCTGTGTTCCTTTCTTGTCAGTGAGACCCAATACACAGCACCCACAGTTTAAAGGGTTATTTTGGCTCACTGGCTTCACAGCTTATGGAAGTGTCAGCCCCCAGTCCACTGACTCCAAGGCAGGATGGCATGGCAGGGGGATTCAGGAAGGAACCTTCATGGTGGAGGAGGCCAAGCAGAGGCTTTTTTTTTCTTTTTTTTTTTTTTGAGACAGTGTCTCACTGTGTAGCCCAGGCTGGTTTCAGACTTGCAGCAATCCTCCTTCCACAGCCTCCCGGGTGTTGGGTTTATAGACATGGCACACGGCATTTGATCATTTTGATTTTAAAGAATGTTTTGAAACATAGGAATGCTGGACAAGAGTAACAGTCAGACTGCACATTTCAGACATCTCTATGTTTGCTTGCTGTCACTGTGAGGCCAGCAGAGGAGAGGAGAAACTTCTTTGGGCTTACAGTTTCCAAGGCTTAAGCCCTTGGTTGCTTGGGGTGTTGCTTCATGTCTGTAGTAAGGCAGGATGTCATGGCGTGGTGTATGCAGAGCAAAGAGGGCAGGCTCAGGTCCCCTGAACTCATGAAGGGCGTACTCCCAGTGATGTGATTTCTTTCCTCTGGGCCCTGCCAGCTTCTGCCTCCAGGTGCCAGCAGCCAGGACCAAGCCTTTAGCATAAGATTCAGGACCTTGCAAGCAGGCAGTCGTGAGTTCGATCCCTGGTACCCATGAAAACAAAAAAGACAAAAAAAAAAAATTTTTTTTTGACCAGCATTTAATAGGATGATTAGTAAGACAAATGCGTGAATCATCTGATTAGATGATCAACAGTGTATTCATGTTCATTTTACTAGGGATGTAAAGATGAAGTTTAGTGTAATCAAGACAATGTATCTGTCACATTTAAAAGTACTGAAAAGTTGTGATCCCAGCCGGGCGTTTGGCTCAGTGGCACAAGCACCTGGCAAGTGCAAGGTTGTAAGTTTGATCCCTAATACCAAAAAAAGAAAAAAAAAAAAAAAAAGTGATCTCAGCACTCAAAAGGCTGAAGCAGGAGGACTAGGAGTTTGAGCTCAGCCTCAGCCGGGTAGCAAGCTCCAGGCCAGCCCAAACTACAGTGTGAGGCCTCGTCTCTGATGGATGGACAGGTGGTATTCCAGGCTATTGTCAGTGAGGACCGTCGTCACCACTGACGCTGAGGGGCCTGGCCCAGGGAACGCATCCTGGTCTTGGCCGTGGGACAGCACGGCCTCACCCCTATGTCCGCTGTACTCACGGGCTCCTTTTTCTTCACCAGGCGAGAAGGCTGTGGGATTCGCATTCAGTGGGACAAGCAGAGTCGCCCTTCCTTCATCAACAGGTGGAACCCCTGGTCCACAAACTTGCCCTATGCAACCTTCATTGAGCACCCGATGGCTGGCGTGGACGAGAAGACCGCATCTCTGTGCCACGTAAGTGGTCCCTGGGCAGCCCAGTGCTGTAGCCAGTGGAGCCGAAGAGTCCAGGTCTGCACTGCCCAGTGTGGCAGCAACCTGGGGCTGATGAGCTCTGATGTAGATCACGCTGGCAAGCAGCTACTGGTCAGTGGAGCTCTGTGACCCTCTGGGGGCAGAGCCCAGGTGGGCTGCAAGGGACAGCATTGACCCCGGCCAGGCTGAGGTGCTCAGTCTGTATTTGCCTGGCTTTGGGGCCAGGTCAGAGCAGGACCCGGGGCATGGCAGGACGGGGTGGTGACTGCCAGCCTGCAGCCTCTGGTGGAGAGTGCACAGATGAACATGACGGACCCACTTGCTCCTGCTTGGTGTACTGGCTGACCTTGCCCCGGGGGAGCTCAGTGGGCAGATACTGGCCCACCTGCCCGGAGAGCCCCTAAGACCTGTGCCCAGGACTGCCGCCATGTGGCAGAGGTGTCGGCCATAGGAGGCGGCCTGGGCCCAGCAGCAGCATGGTCCCATGGCATGTAGCCACCACTTAGCTACGACAGACTCCCCCGCCCCTGTGCTGTCCTGGAGACTGAGCACCACACAGCAGCCAGAGCCCACTCACCACCAAGTGCCAGCATGGCAGTGAAACCTGAATATGGAGGTTTTAGTTTAGAAAAAACAACTCTGCCATGTAGACACATTTGTCGTAGACACAGTAGCACCCAGGATACAGGAGCCCAGTAGTTCCTGTCACCTCCTGGTGTCACATTTAGCATGACGTCACGCAGCACACTCTTTGCGTGCCTGCTGACGTGAGGGCACCTCTGCCTCCACCCGAGCGCCTAGCACGTGGTCACGGCGGGGCATGCAGGCACCGGAGGGCAGCAGAAGTGTGCGCCTGCTCTCCGTGTGCACCGCCCTCTTCGGCCATGTAGCCACGGTTCTTACATAAACATCAGAGTCGGTTCCCCCGTCACACCGGAGCAGCCTCCCCACGGATGACAGGTGGCGTGGACCCAGCCATCTGGGAGTGTGCAAGTGCACTCTGGCTTGTACACAAGGACAGGCTGGCTCAGTGAGGTGTCTCTCAGGCCTGTCTTTGTCATGAGGTGATCTGTGACCGTGCGTGCACTTGGGGGATCCAAGTGTTGCAGGGTGCTGGTTTTCCTCATAGGGGGTCACATTGTGCTGCCCAAAGACTAAAGCTCCATGTTCTCTCCCCCAGCTGGAAAGCTTCAAGGCTCTGCTGATCCAGGCCGTCAAGAAGGCCCAGAAGGAAAACCCTCTGCCGGGGCAGGCGAGCAACGTGCTGGTCCTGGAGCGCCCGCTGCTCATCGAGACCTACGTGGGGCTCATGTCCTTCATCAACAACGAGGCCAAGCTGGGCTACTCCATGACCCGAGGCAAAATAGGCTTCTAGGTGGCCAGGCCCAGGACGTGGGTGCAGGGCTGGGAGCTGGGCGCAGCCGAGCGAATACATGCGTTAGTAGGATCTGGACCCGAGACGTTGGTGGCCACCAAGGCTGGGAGACCTAGCCGGCCAGGGCTGTCGGTTCCCCCTGTCCTCCACCTCCCATGCAGCCGTGTGGCTCCCGGTCCCTGCCCACCTTTTGACCGTGTCTGTCTCTGCCGTGTGGACAGCTGGATTCGGGCAGGAACCTGGGGTCTCATGCACACGTGCTCCTGTTTACACATGGTGTCAAACTTTGTATTTTGAATCTCAACCCTTTTTTTTTTTTTTAGCTAAAGCCAACAGCCGCCAGCAGACTGTCTGGAGCCCGATGCAGTCTGTGCCTTGTCAACCCCTGGTGACCACGCCCTTTTGTAAAAATGTTTGACCTCCAGTCATACCTTTTCTAGTCCATCCAAGTGTATGGTGTTCCGGCGTCATTCCTGGCCCAGGAGGATTCGCATCTGTCACCTCAGGGTTCCAGGATGGCACCCTGCTGGTTCTTTGCACACGATTTTGATAGCTGTCCGTACCCTAAGTTTGTATCATTCTGTTCCTGTTTAGGAGGGAATTTGGTAGCATGCTTTGTAAAGAATGCACTTTAAAAAGCCCCATAAACCCTCAGAGCGGCAGGTGCTGGCCATGGTCCCCACCCCGGGTAGACCCAGCCTCAGTGCCCACCCGAGCCCGTGTGCCTGCTCTCCCGAGCTGCTCGCCTGTGTATGTCCCGCAGTACTTGTCTTAAACTTCAATGCTGGCTTGTCCGTGTCTCTCCAGTTACAGTTGTCATAGCTTTAAGCTGCCTGGCGTGAATGTGACCAGGACGCCATGGCCTGTCCAATCGGAAGGCTGCCCCTCAAGTGCCCCGGTCTTCAGCCTGTGCTATGTCTTGTAGTAAAGACATTTAGAGCCAAAAGAATGTTCCTTTTCTGATGTGATTATAAGATGTACGGTGACCAAGGAAGCAGCTGTCTCGAGCCACCAACTCTGCAGCCGGTGACGACACAGCACGCAGGCAGGACGTGGTCCTGGCTCACCCCTGCTGCTCCAGCCTGCTGAGCACAGTCAGTGGGGCTCCACAGAACTCCTGGGGCTGGGGTGGCACTTTTCACTTCCTTGGAGGCCTGTCCAAGGGTCCTAGGGCTCCCAGTCGCCAAAGCAGACCCTGTACTGTGAAGCCAACGTCCCACGGAAAGCTGCTGTCCTTCCTGAGTGTCCAGTGACAGGGTAACCCCATCAGGGAGGCTGCCTCTGTCACTTCAGGTCCAACGCTGGCCAGTAAGCTCGGACAGACCTGCAAAACCACGCTAAGACGGAAGCCTTTCAAGAAAACTAGCATCGGCATTTTACGAATTAGCAAAACTTTATTATGAGTAATGAAAATCACAGCTTTCTTCCATACATATTTACAAAACTGCCTTGCAATAAAAAATAGACATTACTGGTCTGCCCGGGGAGGGCCGACGCCTTGCCCCCTGTGGCGGACGTGCGGTGTTGCCCCTCAGTCCCTCCCTGCCCAGCCCCTACGTCTGGCTGGCCCGCTGTCCTAAGGCTTCCCGGACACCCTCGCTGGTCTCCAGGAAGCAGAGGCAGAAGTGGTCCTTGCCAAGGAGGGCCAGGGAGTCGCCGCTGGAATGCCAGCAAAGAGAAAGCACCGGGAAGTCGCCTGGAGAGGTGGCCGGAGGGTTAGAGCAGAGGGCCGAGGTTCCCTGGGAGGGCAGCCCCCATGACCCGATCCAGAGGGCCTGCGGACCCGGAGAATGGCCATGCTGGGAAGCTGGGGGCCTTGGGGCTCCCAGTCGTTGGGGTCTCAGAGCTCCATGCCTACTGTGCTTACCTTCCCCAGGCACCTGCACTGACATGCAGCCTGCCGGTGACCACAGGTACACCTTGCTGGCCCCAGTGCAGATGGCTAGCCTTGGCTGCTGCGGGTCCCACTGGAAGGAACGCACTGGGGACAGCTGCTCGAGGACCACGAAGAGGCTCAGCTTCTGAATGTCCCAGACCCAGACGGCGTTGGGGACATTGTCTAGGGGGGAGTGAGGGAAGAGGGCACGGTCACCGCTGCTCCACTGGCCCTGGTCAGCCCAACCTGAGAGCCATCCTGGGTGCACACAGCAGGTAGGCCTTGCGCTTCCCCCGCTATGGAAAGGGTTAGACAAAAAGGCCCCGTGTCGGGGTGCTCTGTGCCCAGGCCTGCTCCCTCCCGAGGAAGAGGAAGAGGTGGGGCAGAAAGGAGGCAGTGAGCTCCACGGAAGTCCCGGCGACGGGGAGGAGCGCTGGAGGACCTCCCGGGGCCATCCACACCCGGCTGTGCCCCGGGCCCATGGACCCAGGGAGTGGGCAGCACAGTCCCAGCAGCTGGGGCACTCACCATTCCTCGTTGCCAGGAAGTAGCTGTCAGGACTGAAGGCCAGCATCCCGATGCCCATCCTGGGATTGGCCCTGTCAGTGGCTGGCTTCAGGGTCTGCAGGGAGATGGGCACGGAGGCGACCTCATCTAGGACAGCAGAGGAGGACACCTGGGCTCAGCCCCTTCCATGGGAGCAGCACTGTATTGCCGGGCTGCCCTGGGGCCCTGGAGACCAGGCCAGCAGGGAGGGCACAGGCGTGTGAGGCCTGCACCCAGCTTCGGTGGCCCCCAACCCCTTCTGCGTTGGTTCCCTCCAGCATTCTGGTTTCGGGTTCTTGGGTGCAGCAGCGGGCAGTGAGACAGTGACAAGCGGGTGACTCCACGGGACCAGTGCCCACAGTGCCCGGGCGCTGTCTCCACATATCCCCGCTCTGAGGGCCCTGGAGTCCTGTGGGCAGTAACTCCCCCACTGCACTGTACCCGAGGGGACAGGGCAACAGGCACGGGCCAGTTGCCCCTCACGTGGAGACTCCACTGCCCCCACTCCTCACCTCCGACTTCCCGGTCCCTGTGGGTCACTCGGGGACAGTCCTTCACTGGGAAATACTCCCCAGAGGCCAGCACTAATGTCCCATGGATGGGGAGCCTGGGCCAAGCACCACAGGGCTGCCAGGCTGGGCCACAGGACCCAAAAGTTCACTTGGACAGCACAGCCCAGGGACCAGGGGAGGAAAACAAGATGGGAAGAGGCGGCCTCGGCCGTGGCTTACATTTGCTCTCCGGAGAGGTGGCAGTGAGGGGGCAGGTGCCGGCTCGGAACGGCGGGAAGGACAGGGGGCCCAGCCCCAGCGGTGGGCTCTTCTCCACCTCCTTGTACACAACCTGGAAGACACCCGCCCGCTCATGACCCACGCTGGGATGGCTTGAGAGGGGAGAGCCACGCTGGGGACAGCGGGCAAGGGCAGCCCCCACGTCCCTGCAAACTGCCTCATGCTTCAGCTGTGCCTGGGGACTGGGAATGCAGTGCCACGTGAGTGCCCGGCCACGGGGAAGCTGTGGACAGCACTGATGTGGGGAGGTCACTGGGGCGCCACTGGAGGGGGCAGCAGATCCAGCCCACCTCCCCCTGCATCCCAGCAGCCACCTTGTCCTACACAGGCCGGAGCCTGGGACAAGACCTGCCAGCTGAGCCCAGTGAGTCTCCCCTGCCTCACTGTGTGTCAGGCATCGTCACAGCCTCAGCCACCAGCGTCCAGGGACTTCTCCCACAGCTGCCCGCTCACACTGTGGGAGGGTGTGAGGCTGCAGGCTGCAGGGGGAGCCTGGAAGTGGGGCCAGTGCCCTTCCACTGTTCTCCGCCCTGACACCTGCCCCTCCTTGTCTTCACAAGGGTCACCTCTGCAGGTCCCCGTGTGAGCAGCTCCGTCTCGCTGACCTTGGGGGCTCAGCTCTGCCACACAGGCTGCCACGTCTGCCCCATGCCTCTCGAGAGCTGGGAGACCCTGGCTCCCCACCTGTCCCGCCCTGGGCTGCTGAAGCCCAGCACAGCTGCTCAGTGTTAAGGGCTGGACTTGGTTTTGTCTCCTCATACCGGAATCCACAGTGGGACAGACAGACGGAGGGCGGGACGCCAGGCTGGGCTGGCGGGGGGACACAGCCAGAGCTAGTGAGTGGGATGGTAAGAAAGACAAGTGGGCAGAGGAGCACAGGCCTGAGACCCCGCACTCGGGAGCGGGGGCAGGAAGATCGCTGGGCTGCACAGTGAGTTACTAGTGACTGAGCTATGTCATTAGACCCGCCTCCAAAAACCAAAACCAGACAGACAAGACCCCAGGGGGGTGTCCTGAGGTCCCATCAGCAGTGTGCAGTGACAGGCACTGGGAGGGTGACACCGCAGACTCCGCAGCAGCCGAGGGGCAGTGTGGCAGTGGCTCCTGTGCACCCCGAGATGGAGCGCGCTCGGGACTCACTGTCTTGGGGTTGCTGATGGCTGCGGGGTGCCCGAACTCTGTGGTCATCTTCCAGGTCACGTGGTTCAGGAGCCGCACCTGAGGAGAGGACCACGGAGGTTTCTGCCTGTTCAGGTGGCTCAGGTGGGGTCCCTTGCCCCGGTTTGTCACCCACCTTTCCGTCATAGCTCCCAACGGCCAGGAACTGGCTGCTGGGGCTCCAGGCCACAGACTTGATGCCCAGGGACCACTCATATGCAGAGTACGCCGCGAGCAGGCGGCCGTCCAGGGAGTACAGCAGCATCTTGTACTGTGGATGAGACAGAAACACAGCGTGGTCACCTGGCACGGCACGTGGCACAGATGCGGCATACAGTGGGGCCGGCTGCCCGCAGGCAGCGACACCACAGAAGTGCTGGGCCTCAGCCTCGGCCTTAGGAGCCGAGATCTCATGCTAGAGCAGAGGGCGGCGCTTCCCTGGGGCGAGGACCTGGGCTCCTCCCCGCCACCTCTCTGGCAGTGACACATGGACCCCGGCGAGTGCAGGGGTGGCTTATACCTCCAAGCAGGTGTCCCACACTGCCAGCACGCAGCCATTGGGGGCCCACTCCATCCCCGCCAGGTCCTGGGTGTCAGTGTCGAAGTGCTTGGGGGCGGGAAGAGGAGAGAGACACAGGTCATGGTTTGTTTTCTAACTACTGCAGCACTTAATCTTCTTATGCAAAAATGGACAAAATGCCCACACCCTCTCCCCTGGAGTGTGCCCAGCCCCTGCACACAGCGCCTGGCCCACCAGCTGCAGCTGGAGGGCCTGAAGACCCTGGACCAGCTGTGGGGGAAGCTTTTAGAGCATTCCATGATGTCACACAGGCGCTTCGGCTCACCAGCTCTACGCTCCCCAGCACTGGCTGAGACTGACAGGTGCCAGGAGGCTCCACACACATGGAGTCCCTATCACCCGGCCTCGTGTTCCTCAGGTACCCAGGCCCATCTGCAGCCTCAGGCCCCACCGCTCCCCATGCACTTTAACCCCAAGCCCGGGCGCCCTACCCGCAGGAGCTGCCAGTCACTGCACACGAAAATGCTCACGTAGTCCTTGCAGTCCCGCCGCTCGGCCAAGGCCAGGTAGCGGCCATCCCTCGTGAAGGTTATTCCTGGACAGAGGCACAGTGGAAATCAGGAGGGGGCTGGGGGAGAGGACATGGGGACAATGGGAAGCCAGGCGTGACCATGCACACCTGTGGTTCTGGCTCATCGGAGAAGCTGAGGCAGGAGGATCCCGAGTGTGAGATCAGCCTGTCTCAGAGGCAAAGGGATGGGGGTAGCCTGGGGAAAGAGCCCCTCAGTTCAGTCCCTGGTCTGCAAAATAAAAGGCAAACAACATAAACAGGGCTCCTTTCCTCCAAGGGAGGAGTCATTCTGTTTGGAGAGGAGCTGTGAGGACCTGTGGACTGTCCCGCACAGCAGGTGACAACAGCAGACACACAGACTGCTGACTTCCAAAAACCTGCAAATCTAACCCGAGGACACAATCTCCACTGTGTCACAAGCTGTAACACAAAAATGCAGGGCACTTTTAGAAAACAGATGGCAGGATATCCTCAAAAGTGAGTTCGTTACATTTCTTTTTTCACTGCTGAACACTGGTTGGAAACATGAAACTGTACTTTACAGTGTGGTGCTGGCTTCAAAAACCCCAGGTGAGCTGGGCGTGGTGGCTCAGCCTGTAATCCCAGCACTCAGGAGGCTGAGGAAGGAGGACTAGTGCAAGTTCAAGACCAGGCTGCACTACAAAGTGAGCTTAAGGCCAGCCTGAACTGCAAAGTGAGACCCTGTCTCAAAAAGACACACACACACACACACACACACACACACACACACACACACACGCAAACAACCGAGGCTACATTCTGCACTTAAGAGCGGAGAGCTGTGTGTCCTGTTCCTACTGGGGAAGCGTGTCCCCTCGGGAGTCACTGGCACTCAAAGTGTGAAACAGAGAAGAGGCACTGGCCAGGCACCCTGGCCACGCTGGTCATCACAGAGGCCACAGGAGCATCCTCAGCCCCACCATCAGCCAGCATCACCATCGGGGTGCCAGCATCAGCCCACCCCAGCCAGCCTGTCCCCAGCACACTCTGCCCACGGCCCACTTCCTTCCGGGAGGCTCGGGGTCCTCAGGTGAAGAAAGGACCCCCATCACCCATCTTTCCTCTGGGCACCCAGATATACCAGGGTTGGGTCAGTCTAGGAACACTGCCACCGGACACAGCAGGGGGTGACCACGGTCCCACAGGACAGGGCTCTGCAGACACTGTTCTTATGACACCTTCCACAGCATCCTCATGTGACAGTGATGACCATGAGGCCTGTTCTCTCTGGGCCGGAAATGGGCTGGAAACGGTGGTACAGCCGCACACAGAGCTCTGCTGGACTCACCCTGCTGGCAGGCTTTGGGGTACTTGATGTAGGACACAGACTTGGTGCACAGGGACCAGACGGTGATCCGCAGCTGTAAGAAAGAGGGACAGGAAAGGGGTCAGCACGTGCTCAGCGCCTTAGGAGACCAGCGGTCAGCAGGACACTGCCGGCATGCCCAGGAGGTCTCCAGCCCGTGAGGGTGTCACAGACCCGTTTTCCTGCCCGGAGTCTCTTCCAGGTCTTTAGTTTGTAATGATATTACTTGACTGACCCAAGATCAAATATGAGCTCGTTTTAGTTTCAAAGTTAGCATGGCTTTGCAGAGCGTCAGAGTTAATCAGCCAGAAAACATCTTCAGCCTGGCAAGGTGGCGCATGCCTGGAACCCAGCACTCAGGAAGCTGAGGCAGGAGGATCACTATGAGTTCAATGACAGCCTGAACTATACAAGGAGACCCTATTTTAAAAGCACACATACAAAAAAAAAAAAAAAAAAAGAAAGAAAGAAAGAAAGAAGAAAGGAAGAAAGGAAACATCTGGAGGAAACCACACAGCTGTCTGCTCCCTGACCCTGGGGCTTTACACTGTGACACCAAGGGCCCCACGCTTGCCTCTGGGTGAAGCAGTGAGCAGTCTAGGCTGGTGTCTCGGGGCCATGCCAGTCCCCGAGGCCGAGAGAAGAGCAGAACCCAGGTCCTGAAGAGGCAGAGGCCTCTTTCAGTGGACGGTCCGTCCGGGTAAACACCCTCCCGCCCTTCTACACGGCTGCCTGGCAGCTCCCAGGTTAGAGTGAAGCAGATCTGGGGGTGGGCGTGCAGGACCCAACACACACCTGCCAGCCGGGCGCTCAGGTCCCTGTGCAGGCGTGGGGCGCCAACCCTGAAGCCTGCTCATCACCAGGGAATGGGGAGCAGCTGCCAGGACTTGTCCTCCAGAGCCCATGCTGTGCTGAGCCAGGGCTGACATCCAGCGGAGGACAGCACGCGGTGTCCTGCCGGCAGACCTGGGGTCCAAACTCTAGCAGGGACCCAGCTGCCCTTGCAGTGGCTCAGGTGCCCCAAGCATAGGGTGTGGGCACGAGGTAGGCGCATGACACGGCTGCCCCACAGGGCAGGTGGGACCTTGGTCGCCCACCTGGAGCATAGCTCCGTTCCAGGGTGTGGTGCCTTGACTGCCTCTCACAGCTCTAGAGGCTTCTCAGAAACACAGGGTGGAAGCCAGGCACTTGGGAGACTGGGGAAGAGGGCTGTTGTGTGTTTGAGGACAGCCTGAGCTAACCAGCGAGTTAAAAGCAGGCTAACCTGCACAGTGAGACCCTCATAAAAATAAAATAAAAAGGAAAAATCTGACAGACTTCCAGGGTGACAGAGAGGGTCGGTCCCACCGCACACTGAAATACCAGACAAAAATCTCAATAGCTCAGCAGTGCTGTACTGACACTGAACCAGAGCAACAGGCAACATCACGGACAAGCGGAGATGATCCTGTGACAGGCAGGCACAGCGCAGCTGCAGCTGGGGAAAACCGGCTTCCAGATGCGCTCACTTCCTGTGGCCCTGGGACTGAACTCAGGGCCTCCACGGACAGCCACATCCCTGGGCTTCAACTTGTAATGCTCCTGCCTCAGCCTCCCAGAGTGCTGGGTTTCCAGCCCGAGCCACCCTGCCCAGCCACAAGCTCTCCTGGGCCTAGGGTGCTCTGATGCGTGGCAGAACCCCAGCCCAGCCTGCTCTCCCGCTCCCCAGCTGTTCCGGGAGCTGAGCACGGGAGCACGTGTGGCCGGGACTAGGGCTCAGGGATCACACTTACGTGGAATTCGGTTGTGTTCAGGATGTGGCGCCCATCAGGGCTCCAGCACGAGGCCACCAGCCCTGCCGAGCCCTCGTCGATCTTGCAGTGCCACTCTGGCTGCTCCAGGGACCAGACCTCAAGTCACAAGAGAGAGAAGCACACCCTTGCACACGGGCCGCCCTCCGAGGGGCTGCGGGCGCTAAAATACAAACAGTGCCCCTGACTGCACTGGGGCAGAAGGCAACAGTGCGGACGCTCTCCCCACAGCCAGACCTCCGGAGCCCCTCTGGGGTGTCCTCCCCTCGGCCCATGGCACACACTCACCTGCACCAGGCCCCGTTTGTACATGGCGCACAGGATGAAGAGGGAGTCTGCCGACCACTCCATGTGCTGGACCTGGTCCAGGCAGGTGTACAGCTGCAGGATCTGCAGGGTGCGCACATCCCGCACGACCACGCGGTACTGGACACAGGAGGCCTGCAGGATCATGGGAAAGCAAGCCAGCGATTCATCCCCTCCACGGGAAGGCCTGCCCAGTACCTCTGCTTCCTCTGCAGGGCACACTGCACGCCCACAGGGAGTTGCGCAGCTCAGCCGCCATCCCCAGACAAAGGAGTTGGTGCTGGCACAATAAACCACAGGAGCCGGGCTTACAGCCTTAAACCCTGCCTCCTCGGGCAGTACCGTCACATGTACGGAACTGTCACACTCCATAAATTTTTTTCTTTTTGTCTTTCTGAGACGAGGTCCCGCTGCGTAGTTCAAGCTGGCCTCGAGCTCACTTTATAGCGCAGACTGGACTCGAACTCACAACGATCCTCCTGCGGGTGTGCACCACCACACCTGGCTTACGCTCCATAAATTTGTACAGAATGATTTTCATGTAACTGAACTGCTATATTCTAGAATAAAGTATGAGTACTTTAGCAGTCTACTGAAAATATTTCTATTCTTTTTAAAACAGTACATTAAAAACTAAGCTTAAGTAGATAACAGCATTGGAAAAAGCTCTTCTGTGACTAATACTAGATCCTCTCCTTATTTGATCACTTTTAAACCATTTCCTCAAGTTTAAAAAGAGTTACAACTTAAGGGCTTAAACCAGGCATGGTGGTGCGTGCCTGTAATTCCAGCACGTGGGAGGCTGAGGCAAAGTGAGCTCAAGACCAGCCTGAAGTCCACAGCAAGACCCTCTCCACAAAACAGAATACCCAAAAATAAACAAAAAAACCTCCCACCACCTCAACAAATAGAAAACAGAGGGTCGACAGGGGCTCTGTACATTGTGCAACTGTAAAGATGTCTCATAAATGCTCATCTGTCTGCCTCAACTTATAACTAAAGAGGAAATTGATCAAATTTTGAATGTATTTTCTTAGATACGATTTCTTCATGTCCATATCTAAGCAAATTTTTCTACACCTGAATGTCCACCTGTAGGTTAGATGTTACACCACAGCCTAAATATCTAGAACTGACTTTTTTTTAATCGGTACTGGGGATCGAACAAACGACCACAGGCTTGCAAGGCAGGCGCTTATGCCGCTGAGCTAAATCCCCAGCCCCAAGAACTGACTTTTAAGTGCTGATTATTTTTGTACTTGCCAAGGTCAAACTAAAGTTTTGATTTCCATCCAGAAGGAAAGCCACATTCATTTTCCAGGGGAAAAGAGGGAGGGAGATCACAGACAGAAACGAGTTTGTATCACAGTATTTTTTTTACACTGTAGCTTTGACAACTGTGATCAGGTCAAGGAATCCTTACAAAACGGGATATTTTTGCCAACATTTGGAGGAAGGCTATGAAATCTACGGGAAGACACAAACTGGAAACGGACCTGCGTCATTCAGTGTTTGGGACAGGGCTTTTGAGAACATGATTAATCCATTATTTCATGAACAGACTAATACCACGTGTTTCACAATATTTTGATAGCATCGAAGTCAGGCAAGTAAATATACACCCCGCCCCAGCGCTCGGGTTGACCCCAAGGCCCTGGCACACAGGCTCACATCCCCTGCTACTTACCTTTCTCTGAAACCTCCAGCCGTGGTAAAAACAAAAACAAAACTCTTAATTTATAGAGGCTAACCTTGGGGGGAGGGAGACAAAAATGTTGGCATATTCATGAAATGAATGACATTTTCTGCCATTTTGTAGCTGACTGATACCGCCTGTGGTTTAAAATAATACCTCAGAAAGAAGCTAAACATCGCTGGACACAGCCTGGTGGCCTAAGTGCCTACCTGGCAAGCACAAGGTCCTGAGTTTGATTCCCAGAACCAAAAAAAAAAGTAAATATGGAACTCGGGTCACCTTGTCAAGGGTCTAGAGCAGCGGCAGTGAACCTATGGCCGCGTGCGGTGGCACGGAAGGCTGTATGCTATTGTTGAAAGCTCTAAAAGGTTCACCTGGTCCAGACATGATTCACCATGCACTGGTCATTAACAAGAACGATAATAAAGTCAAACTGAAAAAAGTCATTAAGTATCGGCCCAGTTAACAGAGGATGGAGAGAAGGACATCAGGTCACACACCTGTAACCCCAGTTATTGGGAGGCTGAGGCAGGAGGGCCCTAGACTCGTCTTCCCCAGGGGAACTCGCAAGGCTGTGTCTCAAAAGGAGCTGGGCACGCAGCTCGGTAGAATGCGTGACTAGACAGGGGCCCGGGTTCGACCCAGGGGAAAGGGTATAAATAAAATGAAGAGGCTCGCTCTTTACAAGGCCCGCTCTTCCCTTTAGGGCTTCCCGCGTCAGAGACCGCGCCCCGAGCCCGGCCCTGGGCGGACCACACTGGTGCGTCTTCAAAGCTCGAGCTCTGGGTCTGATTTAAACTCTGCTCCTTCCGCGGAAGGGGCGGCTCTAACCCCAGCGCGGAGCGCGGCTCTTCATCGCCCCAGGATCCAGCACCGGTTACCGAAACCACTTAATCGCTCTGCTGGAGCCGGAAGGAAAGGCAGAGAAGACAACGAGGCAGCCGCACTGCTGCAACAGAAGGATTTGCCTTTCGTGACAAAATAACAAGGGCTCACGGCGCCAGCGCCCTCAAACCCCGGAGAGCGCGACCCCTGACAGCAGAACAGCGCCGCAGGGAGGCTGGAGGCGGCCAGGCCACGCCCCGGCCACGCCCCCCAGCGGCCCACAGGCCTGCGCTCCCAGTCAAGGGTCCGCCTGGCCCTTCCGCCGTCGCGCGCTCGTTCCGCAGCTTCCACCGCGGGCGCAGGTCGCGCCCCATAGCTCACCAGGTACTTGCCGTCCGGGGAGAATTTGCAGAGCAGACCGGAGAGCTTGAACACCTCTGAAAAGTTCATGGCCGCGCAGGCCGCGGACCCCGAGCTGCGTCAAAAGCCCAGTGGGACTCGAGTGCCTCCCGCAACCGCCTGTCCGCGGCCGGAAGTGAGGCACCGGAAGTAAGCCTAAGCCAATGAGCGCTGCGGGTGACCGCGCGGCATTGTGGGGCTGGAAGTCCTGGAAGACGATGCCGCCAAAATCCGAGTCAGCGCTGAGGGGTGGAAAGGAGACCCTCCCCGCTGAGTGCACAGCTAATTTTGAGCTTTATATAAACAACGCATCTTTTTTTTTTCTTTTGAGGCAAGGTTTCGCTATGTAGTTCAGGCTGGCCTTGAACTCACTATGTAACTCAGACTGGCCTGGAACTCTTTGTGATGCTCTTGGCTCAGCCTCCCACGATGCTAGGATGATAGGCGTGGCGCACCCAGGGCCTCCCACTAACCAGACAAGGGTTCTACCAGAGCTAAATCCAAGCCACACAAATCATTTTTAGTGTGTTTCCAAATACTGCACGACATACTTAGGACTAAAATATCACTCGCTTCTGTAAAATTCGAATCAAACGGAACGATCTGCATGTATTGCACATTACATACATTTACAGGTACATGATCCCACCGAAGAGAGTGTGCATGCGCGTGTTCGTACAATCAATATAGCATCTGTTACATGGGTCACATTGTATGTGTAACGTATACAAATGTTTTGTCTAGTCTTTCTCCTACACCTGCCGCCTGCCCTCACCGCCTGCCCTCACCCCTGCCAAGTCCTCTAGGATTGGGGAACCGCGCTGCTGCGTGGGGCGCGTGCCGGATGGTTCCCCGTGTGCATATGCAGCTGGACGCGGCATAGAAAGCCGCACCCTCATCAATGTGGGACCCTGATCCTCGTCGCTATACAGGGTCCTTCGTGTGTCGGGCCTACAGAGCCCATTGTTGCCTCCCGGACCCGGCCTGTGCCTCTGCTCTGCCCTCCCTGGACGGACAGTGGAAGCCGCTGTGCGCGCCTTGGTCCAGCGGCGCTGGCGTTTCTGTCCCCAACCAGATCCCGTCCTTAAGCGCCCGCTCCGTGCAGTGTACAGGTGTGGGGTCAGCAGCGCTCCCGATTAGAGCTTGGTTCGCACAGCCCAGCGACACCCCGAGGCAGGGATCGCCGTGGGGACAGGGCATCATGTGAAGCCGGATAAAGGGCCCCATAGGCAGGCTTGGGATGCGCCCACAGCTCCCTCCTGCAGGCCAGGCCGAGGTACCAGGCTGAGGCCCGGGGACCGTGCCTGCCCAGCGCGACACTGGCCTGCGGGGTTCGGGTGGCTCCGGCCCCCAGCGGAGCCCCGATCTAAGCCAAGACGCCGAGGCTGGAGCGCAATTCCAGGTTCCCGGCGTCTCCGAGGACGCCGCGTGTCTTCCAACAACGAACACTCCCGGAGCCGGGCGGGGCCGGGAGCGCGGGTCCAGAGTGTTCGCATCCGGAGCCGCTTCCTGGGGTCCGGAGCGCGGGTTGGCTTGGGTGGGGAGAGCCATGCCATCCCGGAGTCTCCGCAGGACCCTCGTGCCAGCAGGGCCTTGGCACTCCGTGGCCTCGCCCAGCAAGCGAGTGAGCGCGCGCCCTGCTCTGCCAGGAGCCGGCGGGTCCCGGCCGGCCCGAACCGTCGCCTTTCACCGTCAGACGCGCGCCCTCCCCGCGTCCCGCGCTTTCCCGACCCCGCATCCCAGCGCGCGCAGCGGGGTAGGGAGAGCCGGGTCGGGACCGGGCAGCGACAGAGCGCGAGTCCGCATCCACGGGGCCCCGGCTCCCGCGCACCCGGCAAGCGCCCCAAATCCGCAGACGTCGCCGTCCCGCCTCCCGTTCCGGTCCCGCCTGGCGCGGCGACCCTGCGGGCTCGCCTGGGGCCACGCGCGCCAAACGGCGGCGGGAAGAAGGAGGGGCCGAGCGCGCCCCGGGACCCCGGCTCGGACGCGGCAGCTGGGGAGGCGGAGCGCGGGGAGGACCCCGGGCCTGGCCGCCGCCTCCTCCGTGCGGGCGCCCGCGGTGCCTTCCCGCCGCCGGGCCGCGAACGGCGCTAAAGCGCGCTTATAACCCGCGCGCCCGCCCTGCGCCCACCCAGGGCCGCGACGCCCCCGCCGGCTGCGTCCGCGCCAGGTAGGAGCGAGGGGACCCGCGCGACGGCGCGCCGGGCTCGCAGCTGGACGCTGGGGAGTGAGGGTGAAGGGCAGCTCTGAGGATGGGGAGTGGGTAACGCGGGGTGCCCCCGGGCTCCATCGGCCGCACCCGGCGCCTGAGGCGGGCGAGGTGGAAGTGGAGCTGGCCAGGAGACGCGGGTCCCCAGGGGCTTCTTCTGCACACCCGTCGCTGCCACCTCCTGGCTGGGGCGGCCCCGAGTGCGACCCGGGAAGGCTGGGACTCTGTGGGGTGCGGGGACTTGGGGAGATGTGCGGGAAGCCGACAAGCTCCTCCCCACCGCGCCCGCGCCCTGGCCACGGGAGGAGCGCACCAATCCGCGGGCGGTGGCTCCCGGATCCCGGCAAGGCTGGGCAGCCGGGGTCGGGCGATCGAGTCCCCCTCAGCCCGGACGGCCGAGCGGGACGCAGGGAGCGGGCTTCCGTGCACTGCCGCCTGTCCGGTTTTCCGGTGCTCAGGACTGCCGGAGGCCTGGCTTCCTCCGGAGTGTGCCCCAGGTGGAGAGCCTGGAGGGCAGGCACGCCCGGCACGGGCACTCCCGTCCCCTTTCCGCGCCTCCCCTCTTCCAGCAGCCTCCTCCTTCAGGGCTGAGACGCTTATTACCTTCTTGTTCCCAGACCTTCCCAGCGCAGGCCTCTGCCAGCGACTGCGTGAATAGAGGTGGCAGGTAAACACCTCCTGTCACCAAGGGACCGGGAAACCCGTGCTGCCGGCCTGCCCTGAGGTCGCCTGGGTGCTTGTGTGCTGTGATCCGTTCCTTCACTAAACAGACACTTGGGTCCCCGGTCTCATGAACACAAGGTCCTTTCGTCTTGGCAAGTTTTCTGGTATTTTGGCTTTTGTTGCCATGGTCTGTGTTGAAGTGTTTGGCCTTGATGATTAGCTTTGGGAGAAACTGAGTCTACAGGCACTAAACGCTCTGCTCCTTTGAACTCACTACTTACTAAAAGTTGATCTCACTGAAACCTCCCCCCACCCGCACTTTGATTTTTCTCAATAAAAGATAAAAACGCGTTGCCTGGAGAGGAAAAGAAACGTGTCAGATGTTGCAGTGTGCAGCTGTAGGGCTTATGGATGTAATTATAAAATGCATGAGAAGCAGGTTCCAAAAGCTTCTCGCTGCTGCCTGTGAGTCTGGAGCGGACCTGCAGGAGGCGGGCGTGGGTGCCCAGTCCTCTGGCTGCTGCAGAGCTCAGGAGGCTGGGTTCCAAGCCCTCTTTTTATTATTCCCTATCCTGGCCCGAGGCTTGAATTTTGGAGCGCTCTCCCAGCCTTTTTAATGTTTTAACTTTAAGCTGTTTTTATAGTTTTTGAGGGTGTTGCTAAATTATCCAAGCCTAACTCAAACCCTGGGTGCCTCCTGCCTCCGCCTCCTGAGTAGCTGGGATGGCAGGTATATGCCACCATGCTTGCCTTGAGATTCATATTCTCACACGTGGATCTTCGGCAAGTTCCTTAAGCCCACAGAGCCTTGGTTTACCCATCTGCAGTCAAGCCCTAACCGCACAGATCTTACAGAGCTGGGAGGGCGGTAGTGGTGATGCCCTGTCTGGGGTGCCCAAAAGGGGCCGGGGCCCTCTGGAGGTGGCAGCTCTGGGTGTTGGTGAGGCAGGAGCTGGCCCTCTGGAGGTGGCAGCTCTGGGTGTTGGTGAGGCAGGAGCTGTTCCGCTCCCTGCCCCCTCCTGGGATGGCAATGTGGCAGGAATCTGCCTGTGACCTGGGTGGAGGCTGATGGCATTTGTCAGGCAAGGGTGCCTTCACCACCGTTTATTTATAGAGCAGGCCCCGCCCGGGGCCAGGGGCAGATTATAGCATTGCTCATGCTAAAGGGGCTCAGAGGCTTGGAGGGGAGACCCAGGTCAGAGAGAAGAGAGACGCAGCCCCAGAACTCCAAGGAGGCCCCAGCCCTGTCCCAGCATCCACCCCAGAGCCAGATGGGTGTTGCCAGGGCACAGAAAGAGGCTGTAAATTCACCTCGGTGAATTCACCAAACCCAGGGGAAATCATGTCTCTAGATGCACCTGGTTAACAGCGTGTGTGCGG